TTCGCAACTTTACAAGCTCGTTCGTCAAGTTGCGCTGAGTGTCTGGGAGGCCTTGAATGGCCTTGACAGTGCGAGTGACAGTCTCTATGAGCTCAGAAGACGTGCCGGCAATGGCTGACATGTTGCTTCCCGCAATGCGAAATGCCTTGTCACCTTCCCCAGCAATAAATACCAGACAGGCTCTGAGGGTTGGTTTGGCGGCGACACTAGAGATGGTTAGGTCGCTGTTGTCGCGGGATACTTGGAGAACTAAGTAAGGGGAGCAAACCGCAAATACTTGAATCCTCCAGCTGGGACAGCGTCGGCCAAGCTAATAGCTGCGGCTTCGGGTGAAGCCGCGGCAACATGGCAAGCACCAACCAATGTAATGGCAGTCGGAGCTGCGGACAGAAGCTCGTTCCAGTTGTACTGGAAAAGAAGAGACTCCTTGACCTCTTGAACAAATTGGGCTCCCGCTTTGCCTCCATGAGTCTTCTTCAAAACAGCCTGTTGAGCGGCTTCAACCTTGGCAAGACTATCAGCAGACATAATGATAGTTATGAGACGGAGAAAAAGGATTTCTTGAAGAGGGGATGGAAATTTATGTTAAGATTGGTGGTAATGGGTAGTGGTTGTTGTTAAAAAGCCTTTTGGGAGTGAGATCGATGAGCAAAGGTATCCTCTTTATACTTAACAACGAGCCTGTCTAACATTTCATGCTTTAGAAGCTCCAATTACGCAAATCTATCACGATCAACTCGGCCTTCGACGCAAGCAGACCACTAGGGCATGACGGGAAGTCCAGACCTTCGCGACTTGCGGTCCAAGTGTCGACTGTTTCCTGCCTCTTGGTATCTCTCTGTACAAGCGCCAGGTTCAATATCCTCCGTCGATTCTCACTATGGGTGCGGAAGTATCGGGTCTGTCGTTTCATGTACAGCCAGCCACTAATACATAACTATGCATATACTGCTAATTGGATCCCTTCATGCGCCACTATCACTATCACTCTACCCTGAATGATTCTTCAGCCAGCCAGGGAACACCGCATGAATTGGTTTCGCTGAAAGTCCCCATGAAAACAGTTCGTCTTCGGTTCTTTCCGCGCCGCTATCTCGATAAACATGCCTCCAATGATTCTTCAGCCAGCCATAGATCATCACTTGAAGTGGTTTTGCTCAATGACTCTCTGAAAACAGTTCTTGACTAAAAGCTTGTCACAGAGACTTTCAGCCAACTAGTGTATTTGAGCAAGACAATACCCACCTTTCTCCGGCTTCCTACGGCCGAGACCGGTGAAAGGGGAGCGCTGTGAAAGTTAGCGGCGGCGACTTTTGACGAGTTCCGTGTTCTGAGTTCAATATCTCCAGCGTTGCGATGTGATAGTGGCTTGACAGACCAAAGCTGCAGGAAGGGTTCTCCATCGCGCCGCTAACTTGCCAAGAAGGGATCACTATCTGTGAGAGATGTTCAGAGAATGATCTAGTCCCATGGTTTGGTATTTGTTCTCAAAGCACTTTGCTTGGACAGGCCTCCAGCCCTGGGATCTTAATAGGGGATCATCGCTCAGTCACACAGCCAAGATCTATCATCCTGTATTCTTGATTTTGAACACTTTTATTCTTCAGAGTTCTCTTTCTCTTCAGTCATAATGTACAGCACATATCTTGACTCGTTTCACAATCTTCAGGCCAAATCGCACGCGTTCCGGCAACGTCTCGATGACCAGCGTGCTGAAGATGGTACCCTATTCAGTGAAGCTGCCGCTTTACTAGACAAGGCCAATGATGCCGCCTTTGAGGGACTTGAGACCTTAGTCGTTCAACTCCTGCAGATAGCGGATGGCGATTCGCCTGTCGGTAAAGACGCTGTGCCGCAGCTCCCTATTGCTATCGAGCTCTTCCACAAGCTGGCCAAGTCCTGCGAAGATTCCGTTGACCGTATCGGTCAGGAATTCATAGATACGACTCAGTACGGCGGGGAAAATAAGCAGCTCCAAGATGATATCCAGGTACTCCTCAATAATATCAGTGGGGAGGCCCTTGGCGCACAAGGCGCGCTCCAAAGGGCCGAAGACACGTTCAGGAGCTGCTCCGAGAGTGTTGTGACTGCTGAAAGAAATTTGAGGGATGCGAGGGATAAGAAAGATGTAAGCGGCCTTGGTATATAACAGAATTACTTGAGCTATCTGCTAAACCTTTATTTGTAATATGTAGGGCTGGTACGACGTATCCTCTTTCTTTGGCGGGGGCGGAGATATCGATCACCAAGTCTGGGTGAACGAGCAAAACGTCAATGCCTGTCAACGCAATTGGGAAGATGCCAATAGGGAAAAGAATGACTGCTGGAATAACCTTTACAATCTGCAGAGCTTGACCCCAAGGGTACAGGAGCTTACAAGGCTCTTGGATGATCTCTTCTGGCAGATGAATGCTGAGTACGAGAAGATCGTCAAGGACAGAAAGATCATCGAACGGACTTGGGTGGCTACTAGAACGCTTGACTACCACGTCAGCACCAACGATGTCGACACCTCCCGCGATGACATTCTACGCCATGTGGTTCAGTTGATCCACATGAGAGTGGAACAAGTGGATGAGGATCCGGATGTCCAGCGGTTCAAAGAGAACATTGAGAGGCGGATGCGCGAAGCACTGGGCGAGGCTCTGGTGGAAGAGCTCCACCAGGAGAGGAAGTTCCTTCCCATGGAAGATGTCGACTTTTAGTCTATTCATGCTAATTTCAATTTTGAATTTGTTCCTTGATTCTCACCTCTGAGACGAAAGAATGAGCGGTTGCCACGAGGATAAGTCAAGGGCTCCAAATGCGTAGGAGCTGGGCAGCTGATGCCAGTGCCATAAGTCAAAGTGCAGAATCAATGCAGTATCTAGGCATCCGCGGCTCGGGCCGTCGGCGCTCGGGGCGATTTACGAAGGCATCCACGCACGAAAAGCTGTTGGCAGGTTGAATTAGCTGAAAATTCAAATTATCTTCTGGTGGCTACCTGAGCTGTGAACAAAACCCTCTGTTTACGGTTTCTTGTCAAATTTCAACCGGGGTCATTTACCATGTCATCTTTTGCCCAGACGGACTGTCGCTCGCTAAGCCCTGGGGCTGGCTGAGTTCAGACATATATAGACCGTCTCGGCTGTGACAGCCTTCCGAAGTCTGCCATGATGGGATCATCATCGCTAGTTCGGTACTCTTCACTTCAAGAATAATGAATCCCTCCGAAAACGATCGCTTTATTCGGCCTATCGCGTGATACTAGATCCCTGTTCCCTGGATCAGACCAAACTCGCAGCCTATTGAACTCGCCGTGAAGAGATTGGCAAATGCTGTCCATACGATGCTTTCGAGTTGACGCTAGTCTACCTTACTTGCCTCAACACTTAGCAGGTATATCGGCTCAGTCTCACATACGAAGAAGGTGAATACAGCGGCCTGTACGCTACATGGCAGCTTCTGCTGGTGATCAGAAAGCCTTATCATCAGGCCTGCAATAACAAGCAGTGACCAATGATTCCTTGGCTAATATACGTAGGTACTATAGATAATCGCCATGAGGCCTGATAGGTATTCCTTCGATTACGGGTCGACGTCAGCACATGATTGTCTAGTTATTCTCTAACTTCGAAAGAATCCTTAATTTTCGACGCGCGGGAGTAAGAGCTATAGGGTTCGACGATGATATAATTCGCTATCACCCCTCATAGGAATACATACTCTTGTACTGACGTTGACCCACAATGATGGGATATGTCGAGTGATAGAAATGCGAGTCTGTGTTAAGACATGTTTGCAGTTAGAAAGGGAACTAGGCCGGCTGGCGGGGAGGGACCGGGTATACGGAAGTGGCGTCGCTTCCTGAGCTAGTGCTGTGCGTGCAGCGTGTCAACGGTCAGCCAGCCACGGGACGGAGATCGTTGGCGCGTAAAGGTGCCGAGACGCTGCTTGAAGCGGGGGTTGATACCTCGAAGCAGCTTGGATAAGGGTTGATTAATGATTCCAAGTCAATCACACAGCATAGATCGCGAGGACCATTTCGGAGAAATCTGCCCATCAGCATTGGAGAGACTGAGGCGCAGACCTTCGGGAGACATTATTTAAGACAGGCTGGCCCAGACTCAGCAAACCCCACACCCAGCCAGCCACATGGGCTTTGTTGATTGATTTACTAGTCAAAGAGGTCGAGTTCCTACACGCAAATACTTTGATTGACTGCCCGGAAGAGTGTGAGCTGTCTGGTGGTAGAAACAGGGCAAGGCGTAGTTCACATGGCTTGCAAATCAAGTCACTAATTGTGAAAAAGTATAATGCACTCAGCTCAATCAAGCAATTAACCTTGATAAGCAGCACGCCACATATGGTTTGCATCGGGTAGGATAGCTTAAACTGAATTGATATCACTATCACATCCATTAGCTTCAGTCTGGGTTACGAACTTACGATCGATCCCTCAGCTGCACAGAGTCACCGAAAGCAGCAGCCAGAGGTACAGTGTGGCTGGCTGATTGGATTTGCAATACCCAGGGATTTCATTGCGCCTTCACGAATCCAAGACTGCATACCTCGTTGGTCGAAATAGTGCGGTATAGAACCCCAGCTGGACAAGTCACTCCATCAATTATCACACCCTCAGTCTCAGGTCATCTAAAGGTAGCTCAGCCGTAGTCCAGAAGTATCACCAGTTAAGCGACACCGTGTCTCTCGGCTCCGGCGGTCCAAGACCTTTTTTCTCGTCTAGGAGTTGCAGAGACGGCATGAGGAGAAGTACCGACGTTTGCATACAAAACGCCACCAAATGAGTCAAAGATTGCAAAGATACACAGTCTGTACTGGAAGATCTATTGAATAGCAACACACTTCCGAACCCGAACACGAAAGTCAGCATTATAAGTGAAGCTGCTCACCCTTTTCTGTTGTACAATCAAAAAGTACCTTACAGCCTTTTCTTCCTCCTCTGTCTCAGAATTCAAATTCAGTACGCAGTCAATATTTTTGTCCAAGTAGTCTTTTTGGCTGACAACTTAAATTAGATCCAATTCTCTCCTTAAGAGGCCGCTTCAAACCTTTGCGCCTTCCGCCCTTTCGAGTTGCGGTAGCCCTTGTAAGATAAGCAACTCCAACTTAAATGATCTCGTAAATTTCTTGTTGCATTGATATCCTGGTGTATTTGTGCAATGGAAACTAATCGGTCATAGGCAAGATGCAATCGAATGATTACAATGCAAGCATCGATATTGCAGGCAAATATGCGGGCCTGCCACGTGGCTCCAGCGTTCTTGACGACATTACCCATTTCAATCAAGGGGAGTTCATGAAAAACCATCTGAATCCCAAGTCTCTGCCGAAAAACTTGAGCAAGCCTTTGCTTGAGGATTACTATGCAGAGGGAGCAGCTGAAGGAATCTGCTCGGCTGCGGTGATGCACTGGCTTGATACCGGCACCGTCCCCCCTCCCACCGAGGAAATGGCTGCAAAGCTAGCTCGAGTCCAAGGCTCCTTTGAGACCGACAACGAGCGTGATTACTTGAAATGGTGCAGTAATCTATCAGCTTCTTTCAATAATCTCGAGAGAGTCAAAGACAGTCAGGGCATAAATCTCGACGACACCCAACAATTCATCAACTATCTGCTTGACAATTCGGGCAAGATCAACACAAAGCTTAAGCTTTTCCTCATCCTTTCTTTCATGAAAGGCGGCAAACCATGTGCCCATGCGGTTGGCTGGAACCTGGGGACGAGAAGCTTCTTCGATCCCAATTACGGCGTTTGGAAGGTCAACACTCCTGATCCCAAGAATGGCATTTGGAAGATCATAACTTCTGGCAATGACTCCGATCCGGCCACAGTCATCGCCTGTTCGATTATTGTCTTCGATGAAATTTGCAAGAAATACGGAAATCCAGTCTCCGTCCAGGCTATCACTTTCTAATCTGTGTTTGGAAAAGGTTGTCTTACCCCATCGAGTGCGGAATTGCGTCAGTACCACTTAGGACAGTAACAAATCACGTATTGTTCCACCAAGTTTCTTAATATTCCAGTAGTAACTCGGGTACTGCGCATGATTGAAGAATCTGAAGAGGGATCAGCATTGGAGAAAAAGGTAAATGTATGTACTGACGCCATTCTGCACAAGATGGGATAGAGTATCCATCCCTGAGATAGATTTTATTCATTGTAATTTCTGACAGAAAGTAAGCCGTAATCCCATTGTAGGGCTATGTTGTAACCGGTGAATTGATGCTTCTTTTCTTCATAGTATTTCTTTTGGTCTGACCAAGAGTTGTGTTACCGGCTGTGACACTCGCTGGGAAGCTCTGGTACTGAATAGCAAGGTGTTGAGTTCAAGGAACTCAGAGATATGAAGGACCCAGGAGTAATCGGCGTGCAGAAATTCAGATGAGTTGAGAGCAATACTCCCACAACCCTCCTAAGGTTTGCTGCTGTGAACCGCGTTACATGCAGTATGTTATGAGCACTAGTAGCACGATATGATCGCAGGTGCGAAGATACAGCTCACTAAGCACCGTGTGAGAATTCTAACCTTCGAAATGTAAAGAAGAGTATAACTCCTTTCATTCATCCCATCAGCCGAATAGCTATGCCTACGGGTTCAATTGCATGGATACCTGATAGTACCTTAATGTGCATGTTGTCTCGACCAATCCGGTTGTTCAGTCCCATTCCATGTGGCTTAATTGACGTCCTGGGCTTTGCGGATAGAGACGTTGTTCCTTTACTCGCATTTGAGTTTCTCTAGGGCATGGAAATCAATCAGTGAATGAAGCCTGTTTCGACGTACATAATCTGAACCCCCAAGGGTTGCTTGAAAGCAGAGGAGCCCCCGATCGGAGGGGAAGCGGCACAGTCGGATCTTTCCCACCGACCCGGACTTGTCCCACTGAACCGCCGTGCCAAGCAAGTGGTTTAGCGCTGTCTTACCCAGAATGTCACCGGGTCCCGATGATGCACGGTGGCCTACATCTTTTTGACTTTCTGTTGTCTCTTCCTTGAAGCAGAAATTGATCCATCAGGTTTGTGAAGACCGAGCGAAAATTGCTTTCATTCTATGGGAGTCAATAGCTTGACTTAACATCACAGGAAATATATCGCGCGCTTCTAGTATACAGTATATGACGGAGCCTCCAGCGATGCAACCCGGGCATCAGTCGGCATCCAGCTTGCTTCTCTAAAGAGCTCCGAAGGGGCGAAGCATGAACACGCCGAATCAACAGACGACATTTGTTTGAGATGCCACAGGGAAAGTTTCACAGGATCAAAGGCTGGAAGCCCTGACCCCCTGTCACCCCACGACCTTTCCAGGGAGAAGGGTATATCTGTGACCAATGCGGGTGAGGTGGCATTTGACAAGATGCTGAAACGGAGGCTCACCATCGTTATTGGGGAAGGTACAGTCATACACCTGATTGTGCCATGTTTTCTCTACACTGCAGAGTACGAAGTACTTAGAGATTACACTCCGTATGCAGCTAATAATACTCGCTAGGCTGACCTGCATCGGATTGCGCCGCCGCCAGCCGACTCAGGGACAAATCTGCATGCAGTCCGCCTGATTGACGCCCGAGATCGTAAGGCGCTCTTCTTTCACCATGTGCATGATGCACCCCCGACGCAGGGGGAGGGAAGCGGGAATGCATAGAACAAACATTGTTCGATCGAAGGGGATGGCCCGCCTGCAAACAGGAATTGAGCCATCGCGTGACACGACAAAGCGAACAAAGAGAATGATCCCAGAGACACACGTGGTATGAGATTCAGGAACGCCCCAAACCCAAAACCCCGGATGAGAAAACGGTCTCAGAGAGGTTGGCCACTGGGGAAGAAGTGCTTGCTTCTGGTGCGTAGTGTACGGAGTACGTACTCCGTACCGACCGGACCATGGAACCGGGAATCAGGGCCGAATGGGCGATGCGACGGGCAGAGCGTCATCGCTTGGTGTTGGACATGAACCCCCCAGACCGGATGCACTTGATTCCATTTGCTAGGCGAGCTTTGCCTGCGTAGCGCGTAGCGTCGCGGGGAGTCTCCATGTCTTTGGAGTCTTTGGGCTTTCACTCTGGACTCTGAAAACTGTTGCAGCGTGGATTTGTGAGTCTCACCCGCTCTCCTCACAGTGAGACACCATGCACCAAGAAAAACGTTGTCGTAGGGCATCAATTGAAATTCGCTATCCCAAGAGGGGTTGCAAGTTCAAGCGGAACTAGACGAATTGGGAAGAAGGCGAGGAAAATCTGTTCGCAGCTTTGCGCCGTTGCGGGCGTTCTGAGTCCTTGTTCCTGGAACTTTTCCCTGGTTCCTGGGGTTGGCGTTTGGTCGCTTAGAGGACGATCAACTGCCGCCAAACAGGGGCAGCCAACCACAGTTTACGGGTTACCAGCAACGCTTCTCGAAGGCAAACACCATTTTGGATCGATTGATTGATTGCAGCCCAGGCTACTGAGTGGGTGGGTGGGTGGTGGTGGTGGGAGGCGGGAGTTGGGCCGAAAAGAAATAGGTGGCTGCAACTATCAACACTGTCCATGTTGCACTTACGGATAGACGAGCAGGCAAACACAACGCAACAAGCGCCCTCCGCTCAGCCACGGAAAGATGGTAAAAAAAAGGAGGTCGGGCCCCCCCAGGATGTGTATGAAGATATTGACCAAAGTCGACAGACATCTCGGACAGCCCGATATGCAAGGGGAAAATTCTTCACAAGCAGATTGCACAAGTCTCCACGTTCATTTATCGCTGTGAGAAAGAAGAGGAGATTCGGAGAATAAGAAGAAAAGAAGGAGTGGAAGAATATTAGATTCAAGATTCGAATGTGGACCACCGACCGCGGCTCTCAGATCCTCCTTGAAAAACAAGCGCGATCTTGCAATTGTTCTGTATCGGTACGGAGCACGGGTCCGCAACATGGCATGTCCAATAAATAAACATGCAATATTATTTCGCTGTTTTAGTGTTGAGCCGTCCGCAATCTCATTTCAGCCCACCTACGCGGTATTGCTGTTAAGGTCCCCCGGTCTCCCCCGGCCTCTGCACTGACAAAGATCCCGGGCCATGAACGGAGCACCTAGCGGGCCTGCAGCATCTTTGACATTTGCAGTAGCAGGGCAGCAGGGCAGTAGCAGTGGCACCCTGCAGATGTTGTGGTTTTTTCTTCTTTCTGCGCGGCACGGGCATCTCCAGAACCAGACGACATTTCCATTCCTGTTTATTAAGAAAGGGTCAAGGAGCGGGGGGGAAAAACGGAGAGCAGTTTTTTCTTTCTTGATATTGACGAAACAATCAGAGACGCATCAGGAAGGGGCGGAAAGGGGAAAGAAACCACGGAAGGAACTCGGAAGGAAGGAAGGAAGGAAAGAGGCAGGTTTGTCTGTACCTTCTTCCCCGAGACCGAATAACAGGTACGTATACACAATACGGAATACCTGAGAAGTTAGGAATACATGGAATACTTGATACTTGATGCTGCTCGTTTGCGCCTCTCCATTTGTTCCATCGTCACATTGTCACATCTTGGATCAGGGTGATCAGGGTCCCCTCCCCTCCCTCAAAACGCTTTCTTCGTCACCAAGACCAAACACAAATCACAAATCAAAACCATCAATAACCCCCCTCTGCATCCCCCAGTGACGACATCCCATCCTCGTCCGACGCCCCGGCCTCCAAAACCCAACGCTACCCGTGACCCGTCAGCTTTAGCTACGCATAGTTTGAGCAACCCACACCATTGACCAGCAGCACCACTCATCGGAACTGTAGGCACGAGAGAAACACCATCGCTGCAGGGAGCTCCCCTCCTGGAGCTTGCGCCCACCCCTCCTACGATCCCACAATCACCGAGACAGAGCCGCGCAGTCGCATCCCGTCTTGCAGCCAAACAGCGCCCGGGATAGACTCTTTGTTTGAATACCAATACCTCACCGGGTCAGAGCTGGAGGTTCCCCATTAGAGCTCCCCAGCAAGCAGGCCTCATCCCTCTCGTTTCTTCCACTTCACCCTCGGACGGGGCGACGCTCGAGCACTCCGGTGACCACTGTCTTTCTCTTCCACGACCACCACAGACATCTCATACGAGCACGGCAAGGAAAACAAATACATAATAAGAGGGCGGGACGAGGAAGGATAGAGTCAGGGGCCCGGTCCTTGGTCTGCTCGTTGCTTTTGCCTTTAATCCGCGCCCATCTTCGAACTTTGGGTTCCGATTATACCCCATTCGTATTCTACCGACATCCTTGTGTACCTACCTTGGGTGGTTATCTTCCCTGTCTCGTAGGTTCTTGCCTTTCAAGTTCCGGCCCCCAAAGACCGAGTGCATCCGTCAATCCTTCCCTTCCATCGATTCATTGCAACGCAACGCAATACAATACGACGCAACACAACCCAAGGTCCAAGGAAGAGCGTACCGCAGCACCGCCGCCAAGGGTCGCTATCAAAAGCAAGCACATCCCCTCGCTCATTCTGTCATCTCTCCAGCCATTCATCCATACCGAATACAGTCCACCCACCACCATCCCGCATTATCGCTGCGATATTCGGGCCATCCCAGAGACACACCACCCAACCATCGGCAGGCCTACCAACAGCCTCGTCACACTTTCGGATTTCACACCTACATCCCATCCCGCAGCTTACCATCAATTTTCACCTGTTGACTGCATCTGCGGCTGAGCCCAATTGACCAACTACGTCTTCTGCTCCCCGCATCGCGCAAGCTTCCACTCACGACAAAAGAAACATCTTGTCTCAACTTGGAGGGCGAAGAATACGAACGTGTTCTATTTACGTCCAGTCAACCTATTCCCACCGGTTCGCTTCTCGCTCGTTGCAACCTTAGCAGTCTACACTCTCTGTCTCGCGCGCGCGCCACAGGATACGGACTAACCCCAACGACACCTCCATCATCCCATCCACATCCCTCTCAGTGGGCACGTAGAAAAGGCGACGAACGACACCTGCTACCCGCACCAAAGCAACAAGATCAACCAAAATAACAACCACGAGGCGAAGAGAGGCGACGCAAACCACACAGACGCACACCTTTCTTGAATTCCGGTGTCTTCCACTGTCCTTCTCGTCTTCGCTTCCCCCACCTTGTCCAGAAAAAGCCCACGGTCGCAAACGAACGAACCCTGTTTGGGGGCCGCTCCCGTGAACGATTACGCCACAGCCTTTTGCCTCTTACTCGATCCTAACTAAAAGAAGAAAAACGGTCGAACCGCGCGCGCGGTCTGAGAGCCGAAACGAAGCTAAGGAGCACAAGAGCTGCTGCACTGCCGTCCGACTACCTTGCTCCCACGAGCCTACGAATACCTTACCTGCCCTACCGCCGCCACTAATAGAGAGTCGGACCTCTTCTTATCTCACCTCACCCACCACCACTTGGTGTACTAGCGACTCTTTCCCGCAAAACTTCTCGACTGAATCTCCTCCCGAACCAGAGTTCCCTCCCGAAATATAACCCCGAGATCGCATTCGACCTTTCTTTGAAAACTCAATTCAACGCGTAACGCAGCAAACAGCGCATTCGCGACGCCAAGTCTACCGTCATCAAACGTCCTCCACTCGCGACTTCCAACGGCGCACGCGACGTGTGACTTGTGACGACACAACCTCGGAGCTGTCCCCGCAATCCAAGGCGGCCGACACTGGACGACCACAACCACCACATCTCTGGTCTTTCGGAACGAAAATCAACTACCACAATGTCAATCCCACAGCAAGCCCCGACACCAATCTCGATAACCATTTGCGGCGACGGCGGCTGCGGAAAATCCTCTATAACTCTCCGTCTCGTTCGTTCGCAATGGACCTCCGAATACGACCCCACTATTGAGGACTCCTACTCCATCACCCGCAAGATAGATGGACAAAACTACCACCTTTCTCTTACGGATACGGCCGGGCAAGAGGAGTACCGCGGCATGTGGGCATCATCAAACCTCGGCGCAGATGCATTCTTGCTCGTGTACGACATCACCTCCCGCGACTCCATCGACGCTCTCCAGTACTTCAACGACCTAATAGACATGGAGGCAGAGACTCGCCTCGACAATGCCGAGCGCGCAAAACGTGCCGGCCTCTCACCCTCCTCCTACCGCGATACCGTATCTGCTACGCCGGGCGCTAAAACCGTTCCTCCCGTTAAGATTGTCGCCGGCAACAAATGTGACCTTCAAGAGTCTCGCGCTGTCCCTGCGGCCATGGGTCTAGACTGGGCGCGCCGCCGTGGATGCGGCTTCATGGAGACAAGCGCACGACTCGAGGTCAATATTGAGGAGACGTTTGCGCTTATTGTTCGTCGCGTTGTTGAGGCTAGGCGCATGGCGGAGCTGGGCGTCAACGAAAACATGGAAATGGATCGGAGAGGAATGACCAAGCCGCTGAGTCCCCTTCCGGCGGGCAGCGAGCAGAATGAGAAGCGCGGCCCTGGTGTGCGGGGTCCGAACGTTGAAGGCAAGGTTGGCAAGGCATCGATATGGAGGAAGCTCCGGTGCTGGTGAGGCTTTTGGCTTGATGGGCCCATTAGCCAAAGATGGCTTCCGAATGCCGATCCTGCATCTAGAGCTGTCACGCCGGGGTTGCTACTCAGCAGTGAGGCCGTCAAATAAGATCATGAGCGGCTTCACCTGCCGACTCGTGGCTGAGAGGGGGGGCCGACGAGGAGGTCCAAGCCTATCTATAGATAGACCCGGGGACGAGTGTGACACCCCAAGTCATTACAGGCCGCCGCGCAGGGAAAGGCTCTGCATGAAGCGCCATGCTGATGAAGCGTGCCATCATCCACGGGAGCAGAGGCAGCTTTGAAAGCCGGTACATTGTCGTTCTCTTGCAAATTGGGGTTTCAGAGATTTTGGGACTTACACGCAAGTGTAGCATTATCAAATAGGGGCGTTTGGGAGTCTCGAGCGCAAGTTCCTCACCGCCTGTTGTACGGGTCGCGAAGGGCGAGGGATTGTATCCAGGAGGAATCGGGCAAAACACTACCGATATGGCCCAGGCTGTATCTCAACTTTTGCTTTTTCTTGTGTTTTTGTTTTCGTTTAGATACCAATGATGCGTGTGAATTATCAAGCATATTTAAGATGAAGCATATTGGTCCATGATTCAAATGTGAGATTCTGATGAGATGAATGTAAATCCAATAAAAAACTACAAGGTCATTTCTTTTCTTTTTCATTCAACTTCAGAGCACATGTATCACCGCCGCGACAAAACCTCATTCTCGAACTCGAAAACTGCCCTGATATCTTCTTCTCTTATCCCAAGTATACCATAACGCCGTAACATCAAACAAACTCTTTCCGAAAAAACGACACTGTCTGTGAACCTGTCCAAACATCTCATCTAGTCGTTTCTTCTATTCTATTTCCCCATCTAACGAAAAGTCTTAGGTGGTGATCTTGGCGACCTTTTGCCACAGGCCGTTGTGGGACCAGGTCCAGTTCTTGAGGAAGGGCGGGTCCATGCCCGTCTCGAACGCCTCGATGCGGGCGGCGATCTGCTGGTTGCGCAGCGTCTCGCGGGCGGCGGCGCCGCGGTTGTGCAGCTGGGGCATGCGGTCGATGGCGTCCATGGCGAGGCTGAAGCGGTCCGTCTGGTTGCGGATGGCGAGCTCGAGGGGCGTGTCGATGTTGCCCTTTTCCTTGTAGCCGCGGACGTGGAGGTTCATGTTGCCGGGCCGCTTGTAGGTGAGGCGGTGGACGAGCCAGGGGTAGGAGTGGAAGTTGAAGATGACGGGCTTGTCGTCTGTGAAGAGGGAGATCCATTCGGCGTTTGTGAGGCCGTGGGGATGGTCTTCGTGGGAGATGAGCTTGAAGAGGTCGACGCAGTTGACGCAGCGGATCTTGAGCTCGGGGAAATGCTGGAGGAGGAGGTCGATGGCGGCGAGGGACTCGTGGGTGGAGATGTCGCCGCACGAGGCCATGACGAGGTCGGGCTCCTCGCCCTGGTCGGTGCTGAATTGGGGCCAGATGCCGATGCCCTTTGTGCAGTGCTCGACGGCCTTCTCCATGGTGAGGTACTGCAGGTGCTCCTGCTTGTCGGCGACGATGACGTTGACGTAGTTTGACGAGGCGAGGCAGTGGTCCATTGTGGAGAGAAGGCAGTTGCCGTCGGGCGGGAGGTAGATGCGGACGACCTCGGGGCTCTTGTTGGCGACGACGTCGAGGAAGCCCGGATCCTGGTGCGTGAAGCCGTTGTGGTCCTGGCGCCAGACGACGGCGGTCAGGAGGATGTTGAGGGAGGCGATCTTATTGCGCCACTCGACCTCGAGGGCCTTTTCGATCCACTTGCAGTGCTGGTTGACCATGGAGTCGATGACATGAACTGAACCTTTTGTTAGCATGATGTATATTCAGTACGTGAGAGGGAGGTAGTGGTGGTGGAACTTACTGAATGGCTCGTAGCTGTTAAGAAGACCGTGACGTCCGGTCAGGATATAACCCTCGAGCCAACCCTCACAGGTGTGCTCGGAAAGCATCTCCATGACACGTCCCTCGGGGGCTAGGTTGCCACCGTTGGCATCCTCTTCAAAGTACTCGCCCATCCAGACCTTCTTGCCGGCCTCGTAGACGGCGCCGAGCTTGTTGGACTCGGTCTCGTCGGGTCCGAAGAGACGGAAGCTCTGCATGTTCTGGGCCATGACATCGCGAAGGTAGGTAGCCATGTTGTTCATGCTAGCAGCCATGGTGCCGCCAGACTTGTCAACCTTGATAGCGTACTCCTTGAAGTCGGGGAGCTTGAGGGGCTTCCTGAGAACGCCGCCGTTGGCCACCGGGTTGGCGCTCATGCGGCGGTTGCCGGTAGGGCAGAGGGACTTGAGCTCATCCGAGATACGGCCATCCTTGAAAAGACGTTCCGGCTCGTAGCTGCGCATCCACTGCTCGAGGAGCTTCATGTGCTCGGGGTTGGTGGCGGCGTTAGGGATGGGGACTTGGTGGGCTCTCCAGTAACCCTCCAAGTAGTTGTCGTCAATCTTGCGGGGGCCAGTCCAGCCCTTAGGGCTACGAAGGACGATCAAGGGCCAAATAGGGCGGAAGGCCTTGCCGGAGTCGCGAGCCTGCTTCTGGAACTTGCGGATCTCGAGGACGCAATGCTCCAGAGTAGCGGCCATGGCCTGGTGCATGGTATCGACATCGTCGCCCTCGACAAAGTACGGCTGCCAGCCGTAGCCGAGGAAGAGATTCTCCAGCTCCTTGTGGGAGATTCTGGCCAGGATTGTGGGATTGTTGATCTTGTAACCGTTCAGGTGTAGGACGGGCAAGACGGCGCCATCCACAATGGGGTTGAGGAACTTGGTGCTGTGCCATGCAGTTGCCAGGGGACCAGTCTCGGCCTCACCATCGCCGACCATGGTCAGGGCAATGAGATCGGGATGGTCGTAGACGGCACCGAATGCGTGGGAGACGGAGTAGCCAAGCTCTCCACCCTCGTGGATGGAGCCCGGGGTCTCCGGAGTAGCGTGGGAACCGATACCACCGGGGAAGGAGAAGGACTTGAAGAACTTTTGCATGCCCTCAATGTCCTCCGACTTCTCTGGGTAGACCTCGGAGTAGACACCCTCGAGGTACGACTGGGAGAGCACGGCGGGGGCTCCGTGGCCCGGGCCGGAGATGAAGATGGAGTCGAGATCGTATTTCTTGATGAGACGGTTGAAGTGCATCCAGGTAAAGATTTGACCCGGAGCTGATCCGAAGTGACCGAGTAACCTCAGCTTCATGTGCTCCTTCTTGAGGGGCTCCCGGAGGAGGGGGTTCTCCTTGAGGAAGATCATTCCCAAAGACAGGTACAAGCTGGCCTTGAAGAAGTCATTGTACTTCACAATGTCCTCCTTGGAGAGGGGCTCGCCCTTGACTGTTGACCGGGCTGGGCCATAGGGGCTGATGGACTCGACCTCCTTGTCGGCCATGTTGATGGTGACGGGAGGTAGGTACGTAAGTGTTGGTGATATTTGTTGTAGGTGTGTTCAGGCCAAGATGCCTTGAAAGGGGTGGTTTAGAAAAGGAAAGGCAAGAGGTGACTGAAGTCCGAGAGGGCTTGGTCTTTATACCTACTAGTCAGGCCTGAAGAGGCCAGAGGAGAGACAGAGACAGAGAAAGATATGTTCGGTCATCTCGCCCAGAAGTCGGGCGGCAGGCGGGTAGCTCTGCCTAGGCTGGAGTTTGATGCTCACGTCTATGGCGCTGATCCCCGGTTGGAGGCCAGCGGACATCAACTGAGTAGCGTAAACGCAGGTCCGGGAGCTATCAGCCGATGTTGACGGCTCCCAACCTGGGTAGAAGGCGACGGCTGTGAGTGTTGAGAGAACAAGGGCATACTGGCAGGGGTGGGGTATACGAAGATACGGAACGGAACTCTGTGGCACGTACAAGTTCCTTGATGGCGCTCTGGTGAAGCATCTTTTTGGGAATTTTAGCTTAGAGAGTTGGAGAAGTGGTAACCCCAGATGCGGGACTCTCGTTCATTCCACAGCAAAAGGCTCCAATGGGCTGGCAACGTGGGGGGGAGAGGAGAAGAGAAGGAGATGTCGGGTGTCATGGCATCCTGGCAACGTGGACTTTTGGTGTGGGTTGTCTCTCGTGGCATATGGCGAAGGTTCCTTCTGGGCGGTCCGGAAGCTGCCTATGACAGGGTGACGGGACGAAAACTAAGACGGCGGCTGCAGATGAGCTGAGGAATTGTGGGTTTTCCTTGCATGTTCTTTTGGCGACAAGACGTTGATCTGTGGGTGGTGCTGGTGATTGTGCGTGGGGAGAAGAGGTGGTCTGATTTTCTGAACGCAACTCAACTGCGGCCATGGCACCAGGCGACATGTAGCCGACGTCACCTTACGCGCCCCACGTCGGTATCGGTTGTGATCCTGTCCGCGTCATAGTACTTGATTTGCCTTGCCAGTCCGTTTTCAGGAGATGGAGAAGGATGTTTTGGATCCAATGGCTTTTTGGGTCAGGAACGCTTGCACCTTGGTGGTTGAGGTCTCAGTAAGCGGAGAAAGTACGGAGTAAAACAGCTGCCCAGAGTTGAAGGTCGGGGCAGCAGCGGGCCGAGTAGAATCGCCGCTTCGGGACATGATATGGTACCTCCAAGGTACGTATTCGGCACCGTCGGCAGCTGCCGTTTGCCGGCCCGGGCTACGTATCTATGGTGTCCATGGTGAGCCAAGGTGAAGACAGTGACTAGGAAGGTGAGGGAGGTGCTAATGCACACATTTCCAATACAACTTGCAACGTAACGCCTGCAACTACATCCGCATTATCGGCAGCTCTGCCCAGTCCGTGCTGCCGGGCCAATCTCTGTTACACCAACACAATTCTGACCCAATCCAACCCATCCATGCCCGCATCAAAAAGCCTCAATCACCTTTTGGCTAGGTGGTCTCACTACCCGATCTTCGGGAATGAGATAGTCAACTCCCAGGACAACGGCTAATCGCCAGATACGATTCCATTCTTGGTGTGGCGTCAACCGAAATGGCACACCCAAAATGTCTCCCTACCATCACGGGACAGTGGCATCCTTCTATCGAGAAAACAGCAAAATACATCCTACTACGCCTCGAGAGAAAGTCAACAGAGCCTCCATCCCGGGCTAGGCATGCTCTACGGCATCACCGTTTCGGACCGTTTACTCGTATCAAAGACCTATCGCAACCAGCGCTGGTGTCCCCGTGCAACCGGCATAGAACGACCGGCCTTTTCTCTCAATTCGCTTGTCTGCTCGACGAGGCCACCGATGGCCCGTTGGACAGCAGCACCGACGCCGTTGGTGATGGGAATAATGTCCCGGAAGAGCAAGAGGAACATTGAAACAAGGACGTCGTCCGTTGCCTGGCAAGGGTATCGTTGACAGGGCCGGTAAGCCTGGCAGTGAACCCGAACGCCTTCTTTTCTCTTGGCCAATCTAGCTGGGCATGCAGCAAATATCCCGCCATTGCAGAGCAGTGCCTTGGTACTTGGCCTTTTTCTGCAGGCAACTGGGCAGGCTGTGCCGAATTGCATCGGACTACCTTAGTCGTGCAAGCCTGGCATAAGGGACGAATGAGACGGCGGACAGCAACTGACGGTGCGGAACCCGGCCGGCTCCTCGCCCAGATCCAGAAGCATCTGATTCATGGCGAGTCTGGATTGTGGCAAATGCACGCAGATCATGGCACCGCTCATCCACGACTTTCCTTACGTGCCACAACAAGCCTGGCAACCCCGGTTCACTGGGGGGCCTGACACACCCCGCCAAGTGTCAATCCTGCAGACATCACCCCACCACCTTTCACGGCGGGAGCTAGGACCCCAGCCCCGAGAAGACGAGAACAAAGTGGAGGGGAGCTGGAGCTTGAGCTTGAGCTCGGTGCTCGGTCCTTGTGGCCCCTTCCGCAGAAACAACGCGCTGGTTTGAATCACCATTTATATCGATTTTTCTGGGAATTTCTCGTCCAGGTAATTTTCTCTCCAGCATCAGCATTTCTTCTGCCTACCACAAGTATCCTGCCTCCAGAGGCCACGCCATCCGCTAAATGATGACTTACCTTCAGTGTCTTGTGTCTTGAGAAACTTAGAGCAATTGCAGCGACAACCGGCAAGTCAACTAAGTGATGAGACCTCGCCGATGGAGGGGTAGTCTCTTGGCGAAACCCTGCTAGATGAGGGGAAAGCCCAAAATGTACGCGTTCACGGAATGCCGTTGGGTTCCAAGTCATCCGGTGTTCCGCATGGAGTCAGGACTTATGCCAACAAACAACGCCGGCGATCCGCTCAAGACGACAATATGAGAACGCAGCGACATACGCTTATCAATATGATAGAATACTCAATCCCGCGGGCGATGAAAAGGCTCGTCTTTCAGCGAGAACAGCTTTCCTCACTGTACAACGTGTTCACCTTGTTTTGTGTGACAGCCCTCGGCAAAGCCAAGGGTCGATTGGACCAGACACGGGATCAAAACGTGACATTGCATCCATGGTCTCGAGGCTCTGCAAGTTGAACAATCTGGGGACCTGACAGACGTTCAAAGACAAGACATCTGCGACAATTTTACCACCATCGAACGCTAACCTCCTGGACCCGGAGAGTGGATTCCCACCTGTCATCTGGATCAGCCCGACTTATCCTGAGTTAGGTATGAATTGTCTCATTGCCTCGACGTTTGCGCGACCTTGAGAGCCTCCATGCCTTCCTTCTTCACCGCAATCTCGGACTGGAAACAGGTTCCGATTTCCTTGGATCTCGATGGGCGGGACCCTTCGCGAGAAGTTGTTCAGCGAGGTGCGTGGTTGGGTTTTCACATTCTCATGTCCTGATCTGATAATTTATGGGTACGAGAAGTCTGACAGCTGCGCTCCGCGCTGTGCCGCATGTAATTCGTATGCGGGTCACCAAGACGGGTCCTCCGAGCCGACCGGGGGTTGCTGTCCTGCGGCTGCGGCGGGGTTGGCGGGGGATCAGCCCCCGACACGCGGGAACTAGCCGTTTACCAGCAGCACTCAGGGGCAGTTGGCACTTGCAAAGAGCTTGGTTCAGCTACGTCTAGAGGTTTACGTCGATCCGGTTCTTCTCTGGGCGCAGAGTCACTGTTATCATGCCTAATCGTAAGTCAGGAGGTCAACATCTAAGTGTACTGAGTTACTACTTTTTCAACATGTGCACACATGATTAATAGGAGAAACTGGTCGTAGTGAAGGCAAACTATTATACGGATGATGTGTTTCTTAGCCACGATCAGCCACAGAAGTTGGGGGTTCATTAAACGTGGCCTTGATCCTCGTCATTTACGTCCCATCTCAGTGACATTTGACTTACGATAACATCCAATCCCGGTCCTCTTTCTGGTCTCATGTCAAATTGACAGCTCAAAGACAACGTCCCCATGCGAGATTGCGACCCTGAGAAAAAGTCATTGTTCCATAATGCGAGACCCCCAACTGTAGAGTTTTGTTTACTTCCAATAGATGACGAACAGCAAAGTCCATCCCCGCACCGACGGACTGAACTCTCTCGACCACCACTCTAGGCACTCCCTATGCCATATGTTCATTTACCCGGGAGGGTTGCGAGACCGCGTAAACTCATTTACTTGACTTAGCTCACGAACTGTCTGAGCGGAACGCCCGTGGCCACCTTCATGGTAGAGAACAGCCAAATGAAATGGAGAAGTCGACACACTTGGACATCACGGTGGCCTGACGTCACGCCGTACCCCCGCGTTCTATGGGCTCCAATAGTTTGATTCATACAAAAAAGAAAGGTAAAGGGAAGGGCAGCCTAGGAGTCATTCATGTATATACTTTCCTCCGTCCGCTGTCAGATTGCCAAAGTCGAGCAACAGATGAAAAAAGCTTTCCCCCACTCTTCTTCCTTGACTGACTATCAGAAACCGCCTTGTGAGTGATTCTCGTACCTCGGACCTCATCGGCCTTCTTTATCTCGACCACAAAAAAAGGTCTGAACGGACGTTTCGATTGATTGTATGCAGATAACAAGTTTACTATCAACTCGTAATGGCATCCTACCCGAGTCATAAACCTCAAACCCCGCAGCCTCCTGCGCCTATCCCCATCAAGGACGGCGACGACGACCAGAGCGACGTGCTGAGAGACTACTAAGATGGGAGAGAGAAACGCAAAGTCAACGACAGAATACTGGGTTTGATGGAAGTTGAATGGGCTTGGGCCGATACACAACGTTCTATGGATGGGGGTGACGCTTCGAAATTGTGATGATTATGTACGAGAGGAGGCGGGATATAGGTGTGATCACAGAGACTGCAAACTGTACGATATTTGTAATTCAGCTACTTCCTGGTTGATAATTCACTTCCCAACCCCCCCCCCCCGGTCACGCGATGAAGACTCCCAAGTAGACCGACAGTCCTCTTCGCCAAGTGCAGGCCACTCATCTTATGCCATGTCCTCTCGCTGTATCTCTATTTCCCCGTCCCAGCTACCCGGGTCTTCCAGCCGTCGCCGCCATTCCGACTCCAGACCTCATCAGACCACGCCTCTCCCCCTCCCCCCAGCTCCCCACGGGGTACGAGCCCCTACATCTGTGCCTTGACGTGATGATTGCATCTAGCGGGCGTAACTAGCCTACTTTCCTACTTACCATACCCCGCTCTTCTCTTACGTCCCCCTTGAACGATCCTTCCGGGTTCACCTGGATCTCGCAGGGCAGTGTCTCAATTAGCACATCATTGAGACGCATATGTATCTGAACTCTCCTTGCAGGAAGAGGGAGGAAATGTGTTTCTTGATCTCTCAAAGAGCATGGAGGTAAGCGATAGATCTTGCATGGCGTGTTCCGTCTTACCCCTGATTTCTTGGATCTCGCAGCAAGCGGGAGAGATGTCAATGTTGAAGTCATCAGGTGATGACTCCGCTGCGTGCACTTTGACTTCGTTTTGTGGCTTGGACTAATGTTAGTATAGCTAACACGCCTTCAATGAAAAGGACAGGCTGCAAGAAGGCAGCCTCTTCTAGGATTATAACCCAAAACGAATTAATTTGAGGATTTCTCCAAGAAACACGCAGTAAGATAGAACAGAACGACTCTTCAGTCTTGCGAGTTCATGGCATTGCAATGGAGGCTGAGCAGAGACAGGGTCTGCTTCTTATCTCCGAACTCCAAATAACAGCAAACAAACTACTTTGAAAACCCCGTGGGACACAAAAAGCCGCCACAACAACACAACTAGCACAACTCTGGAAATAATTCAGACCCTCCTCCTGGACCTCTCGTCATAGTCATAGTCAACCTACTACAATAATCAGGCTTCTCCACGCTTCCTTCTAACAAACAGCTCCACCTAAAGCCTCTCCTGAGTGAAAATTGTTCAAATCTGCTCTACGGAGCCAAAAAGGGACAGCAATGGCAAAAGGAACTGCCCCCTCACGGGATTGAACCGTGGACCTTCGCATACCAAGCCTACGAGTGCGACGCTCTACCACTGAGCTAAAGGGGCGGGGCGGAGTTGATATCGTCGTCCGGGTCGGGTCGGCGGGCGAGACATCTCCACACCGATGCCGACATGCTGTTTGGAGATATCACGGGTGAATCTTGAAAAGAGACAGACCACGGGCACAATGGGAAAAAGAAGCAGGAAAGGAATGCGAACAGGAAGAAGTACGACGTCTAACTCGTTTCTATCATTACGCAAGAGGGTATTGGCGGTTATTTCCTAATCCGAAATGATCATGCCTCTACCAAAGCCATGCTCGCTCGTGCCTTTATGATTTGAACCCCAGTGAGCTATCTACGTGGGCCCAAACGCGTACTCTACACCATTGATTTGACAAAGTCCAAAGCCGATCTCTCAGTAGCATGATGATCACCGTGTCGTCGTTGTATCGTTAATTCGTGGTTCAGTCAAGCTGGAAACGCAGCTTCGATGGGCGTGTTGACAGCGGACGTGATGCCCTCTGAAAGTTTGGCGGACTCCTCTTCACTACAGACAATTAGGGAAAAAGCTGATAGTAATTTGGATCAAATCCCGACTTACTTGCACTTTGTCTCCTTAATGTACGGCCCCTTGCCACCTTTGGTTGTTCGCTCGCTGCGTCTGCTTCTTCGGTGTAACTTCCAAATAGGTTGAGAATGACATTCTTCGGCAGGGCGTTCTACTCCTTCAGTGACAAGATGCCTGAGCCCTGCGGCCACTTGTTCTCTACGTCAACGAGTTCGATGTCCCCATCAACATCCCGATCCCCGTCCTGGGCAGCAGAGTCAGGGTTTGCTTGCTGGCGTTTAGGGACTTTGACCAAGTCGCCTTCTTTGCCCTCTTCCACGTAACAGAGGTAGTACGGATCACCGTTGCTGTTGAGAGTCTTCATGACCTCCCTCGTGTCGGCATTTTCTGTGACGACCCTGTCATTGTATTTGCGCCACACTCCAGCCTCAAAATCGTGGATCCAGACCCAATAATGACCAGCTCTGAGCTGACCACTATGGCAGATCACTGCATGTAAACGATATGCATGCTTCTTGTGTTGTGCGAATAGCTGATCAAGCTCCGCTTTATGGGACTTCAGTTCATCCTCGCGCATGTTGCTGATCTGCTGGCGCCCTTCCACCGTAAAGCCTGTAGGCTCAGGCGGGTCCACCTTTTCAAATGCCGTCTCCGACTGTGAAGGGTAGGTAGGGAATGTCGGCTCCTGCCCCGCAAAGCTAAGGGATGACGTGGGCATGTCGTTAAGAAGTGACGATGTCTCCTCGACGTCAGGCTTGTCAACGTGTACAAAGTCCCTGGTGAAACTGTCGATGAGTTGAGTATCCTCGGCCGCAATCTTGGGCATGTTGTTGAGCTGGTCTAAACGCTGTTGAAGAGCCCAGCCTTTCTGCCGTAACTTGAAGAATTGAGGGTCGTCCGGAGTATCCATATACCGGTCAAGATACAATGTCTCGAATACCTCAACCGGGTTCATGTTCTTGTGGCCATCACCTTTGGTTCTCTGGATAAGGACATGTAAGATCGGAGGAAGCTTCTTGATCGACGTGTATCGCATGATATCTGCTTCTCCGGCAGCGACTCTTTGGAGATCGAAATTGCGACTAAGGCCGTCATGAATGTTCGTCGGCCCGCCTTCAGCAGGATATGCCGTGATGGCACGCTCCAGAGTTGAGTCTGATTTGTACTTGTCCTGATTGGGGAACTTCGTGTGGTTGGTCAACTCAACATAGAACGTGTCCATGATCGGCTCCCACTGGACCTCATCGGTGGCATCTACCCTTGTAGGCTTGATGGCAGCCTGCAGGCGGTTGATGATGCTGCCCATGACCTCTTCAACGTCTTGTTGATCTGTGCCTGAGTCTCGGGTCTGTGTTTCCAAAGCCTTAAGCACTCGTTGTTCCACGTTGAGAACAGTTGTCTCGACCCCTGTCATTCTGACATCGTTATCATTGGCGGGCCGGGCCGAAGACTCCTCGACTGGCTGAGAAACGATTCTGATGTCGGTCTTATCCTCGGGCACCCAATCCTTCTTCTCGTGGTCAACGTCGGAAAGGTTGACCAAAGTCTGCGAGCTTACGCTGCTAGCAGACTCGGAGATCGGGTCTACGGTGACGTTAACCATGTCAACATCCTCGACGTGTTCTGCCGTATTTGTAGGGGGCCCCGGAGCAGGTCTTGCAGGGAGTGGCGGAGGGGCGGGAAACTGGGTACCCATGACTTCCAGAGTCTTGGGCCCCTCTGCAGTCTTGCTCGCTTGCTTCGTAGGATCTTCGGTCAAGTTCGAGGTCGGCAGCAGAACGGCATTGGCGAGTCGTTGGGATGGTCGGATAGCACTAGCTTGAGAGCCACTAAGATTATCCAAGAGTTTGCTCAACTCATCGACGACTATGGGATATTAGCAAAGGCTCCCCGTACCCATGGTAGAACAGTACTTACAGGCGCGGGCAACAACAGCCTCGGCACGATCGATCTTGAGCTTGTTGCCGCCGACAAGCCGGCGTTGGATATGCGAATCATCTAGGCCTAGCTCATAATCTGGGTAGTGGGCAAGCAAGTCCTTGATAGGAATGACGGTGTTGAGATACTGAAGAATGCTGTTCAAGTAGCAAGTGTTGCCGATGTTCTCGAGACCCACAGGTAAGTTGGCTGCGTTGGAAGGCCTGGCGTCCATCTCCACAGCTTGCGCAGACTGATCCGGAGCTTGAGCCAATAGAGATAAAGTCCTTGCGGCTTCGCGGATTTCGTCGCTATTCCTATCCTCGGCGATAGCTTCCATCGCCTTGATCGCGACTTCTTCTGTAGCTTTGCTTTTCGGATCCTTATTCAGCTAGGGGGATTGTTAGCGGAAGTAGAATGCCGCAGTTTCAGGTACACAACTCACCTTGACACTGGACATCATCACAATGGTGCTGTCAGGCCATTGAGGATCTACCTCAAGAATACGATAGGCGGAGGCAACGTCCATTGGGCCGTTTGCATGGGTAAGGATGCGATCGCTGTTTCTGTGGCGCCCAATGATCTGTAGCATTTCTCGGGCAGAATCAGCTTGAGAGGGCGAGTGTTCGATCTTGGTATTGAAGGCAGAAACAACATTATCGTCACTGGCGGTGTATTTTAGGCTGAAAAATGAGTACGCTTGTGTTTGCAACTCGTCGCCTGCGCCAACGCTATCCGGGGCAGGCATCCCGTCCATAATGGTGAGCTCTTGGATCGCTCGGGTCTGGAAATCGTCGTCGTTCGTGAGGAGAGCAATGTCCTTGAGGGCCTCGACAAACGTAGGACGTCGTTTTTCACAAAGAGCCGACTGCCGAGTATAAGCAAAAAAGATGAGTGCCTTATCGAAATCCGGAAGCACTCCCAGAATCCGATGCGCTTCCGTTGCTGTTTGTGCAATCTTGTTCTGGGGGTAGTCAAGACATTGTAGCTCTTTAAAGAGCCTGTTGCCAACATAAGGCCTATTTTCGCCAGTCTTTCCGCCTCTTATTATGACACTCTCTGTCTCAGCCTGCATATCCTCAACGAATGCCCGCAATGCGCTCAGCTCCGTCGGTATGCCGGGAGTGCCAGGTTCGAGAGTAGGCGGGATGAAGTAAGGCTCAAGAACACCATCCTTGTCAAGGTTTTCCTCTGTGAACATGATGGCTCTGAAAATGGCATAGCATTCTTCGCCAAATACGACCTGGAAGCGCTTATTACGCTGAGATATGTTGCGTGGATTGGGCCTGTCCAGCAAGTCTCTGAGATAGGTGTTCAGTGTGACTGGAGCGCTTGTGCACCAATCATCCCTTGCGTCCGCGAATCGATCCGGCGACTGCTTTCTGGCGTTCGCCAGATTGTCCAGGATGCGCTGCTCATTGAGAAGAAGGTGAAGCCACTCGCGCTTGAGCCGAGGCCGTGATATTTCGACTGTAACTTGCAATGTGCAGCGAGGAGCGGAGCAGGCGAAGTGCTCAACGGCGAGTATAGTCTCACGGATGAGAGGATGGTAGTTTGATGTCGACTTGGTCGGTCGAACCGGCTGCTTGATGTTGACGAGATGATGGAGGTAAAAATCTGTGTCTTTCGGAGGGAAATGGAGAGCATTGGGGCGACACAGACAGACAAGCTGATCTGGATCCCAACAGGTTCTGATCAAGAAGTGGAAGTCGCAGATCGCGCAGACACAAGACAGCACGCCAGGGTTGCGAGTATCTGATGTGCTCTGGTTGCCCACGAGGACGAGTCGATGCGGTACTCCTGCTTTACTGCAGCGCGCCTGTTGGTCCCATTCGATTCTTGCGAAGGATCCGGAATCAAGGTCAGAGTTGAGCAAGTCTTGGATCCACCTGGGGGCAAGGCGTCCTAGAGGGATGTAAGCGTTTGATATCAACAGTCAACGGGACAAATTTGGGTTGGCCATAGTGCCGTTAAAAGCAGAAGCGCAATCCGAGCTCATTTGGATTCATCCAACGTACCAGTCTTTCCAACCATGTTCTCTTTGACCGGCGCAGGGCTGCCCTCCCAGTGCTGCGTAGTGGGTGAATCGCTTGGTGACATGATGGAGTATTGATCGGTGATGGCCATGCTTTATTACCCCTTTCGATATGGTACGCTCAGCGAACTAGAAGCTCGCGGTAACAGCCCGAACGGACGCTACGGTGTAGGTAGACGGTTCAATCGATGCTTCAAATACGACTCCCGAGTCGTCATCAGCTTCCAGTGCGAGGCCTCACGTCACAGGTTGGTGGTCGTATACGAATATGTATGGTTTCGATGTAAGTGCTCGACCAAACTAATAGCTAAACGTAGCCTGTAGTCCTTCGGGTGGATCGGCGGGCGGTCGCAATTAATACTCGTCCCTCAGCTGATATTTGACCGTCAAAGACGATCGTAGCTGTCGGCGGGAATATCTATGCTCGTATCGGAGATGTGGAACTCGATGTATGTTCGGCGGAGGATCGCTCGATCGCGAGTGGCAGGGAAGGTTTCGTTAGATGCGAGGCACTGAACAACTGTTAGTCCAGGAATGCGAGACC